ATATATATATATATATATATATATATATATATATATATATATATATATATATATATATATATATATATATATATATATATATATATATATATATATATATATATATATATATATATATATATATATATATATATATATATATATATATATATATATATATATATATATATATATTATTTTCTTTGTAATCAACAAATTGTAAATTTTAATACCTTTTTATGTTACTTTATTTTTGTAAGCGACAACTAAAGTAGTATTTCGAGCACTAGATATAAAAATCACCACTTTAGACGAGCAAATTGCACAATCCATTTTTTTTGTTTCAGCTTCAAACGGTTAAAATGATTCTATTAAACCTCGTATCATTTTATGTGGCGGTAAAAACGATGCTCTCAAATGCATCGTTTATCTACCTATTGCATTTGGAACTATTTATAGTTTACATGTATTACCTACTGGGTCTTTCAGCATTTTTATTAGCCCGCAAATTTAGCTTCAGTGGGTAAACTTTTATGGTGTTATGTGTAGGTTTGGCGGGCGTCGCAAAATGCGCGATACAGAAATTGCGGTACACTTCATCCCCTCCTTTTGCCTCTTATCTCCCCAATAAAATCCGGTATAAAACGCAAAACTTTTTTATTTCGGAGATTTCTTATAAATCACCCCATGAAAATCACTTCGTGTCTTTAGAAATGAATAAAGAACTAGTGGTCGCAATCCTAATCCTAGGTAAGTCTTCTGTAATGAGATTTTTTTCGTTTACTCATTGTGTTGAGGTAGGTATATTTTCACTAGTCAAAGCAGGAAATCCTTTTGTTTGTTTGTTTATTGTTTATTTAACATTTACTCGTGCAATAGACAAACGTCCGTCTCGTTATTGTTAATATACGAAAATATATTGATTTTTAGAAAGAACCCTATATGCGAAGGTTTTTATTTTCATTTATTAAAAAATGTCTGATTTATACTAAGTGTAATGTCCCTAAGGTGACACACGTGGAATATCTGGTTTCTGGGATAATGGCTGCCAAAATTTGGCAAAAAGCGTTTCGTGGGTAGCACCGTGAGAGAAGAAAACTACTTATTAAGCGATGACAAAAACTTTAGATGATTTTTTTGTTAAAAAAGTATAGCAAATATTTAATAACCTAATGAATATAAGATGCAATCAAAAAGTATAATTTTTTTAAATTTTTCAAGAAATGCTAATTCCATTTTAGATGATATTCCACTTACATTTAACATTTTTTAATGTTTTTTAATAAGGGACAAAATCTAGTAATTTTTTGGTTTAAAAAATCTTACTGTTACACATTAAGGTTAAATGCAATGTCATTTTAGTTGAGCAACACAATTTCGCAATTTTACTATTAATTACTTTAAAATATTAGTAATGACATAGTAATAATTAATAATAATTATAATAAATAATATTGAAACTACCTGCTTTGTTAGATATTTTGTTAGATTTAGATATATTTGTTTATAAAATTATTATGGTTAAAAATGGTCTTCACAGTTAGAACACAGAATATTTGCAAAAAAATCATTATTGCCGTTACTTCAGACATAGAAAATGATCGAAACTTATATAAATAAAAGCCTGTGAAGTTAGCGACGAATTAGGGATATTGGCTTTTTCATCAATATTTTGCAATAAATTGCAAGAAAGACAACAAAATTTAAGGGTTTCAAGTATCATTCGAAATATTTTCCCAATTTTTGAGATTAAAAAAAATCGTCTTCTCTCTCTCTTAATTATTAAACGCTATGATGATTTCTTCGATGAGGGTAGCTTTCAAAGACTTTGCGGAATGTCCCATCCAAATTATATCCCATACACCAATTTTCACCTATATATCTATTTATAAATCGTTTTCTTTTTCTCCTAACTTACCTTCACACATGTTCATGTCACCTTTAATCAAATTGTATCTTGCCTAATATAATAAAAATCTACCCTTTTGAACCCACCACGTAGTGGAAAGAATTATCTTTTAACAACTTTAACGGTGGAATGTTCTAACATTCCCTAATAAACGAAAATAAAAAAAAATAATGTGAACAAATTTGACTATTTCAAAATTGCAATTAAGAGAGACATCGACTTTTTTTGCGAAAATCGGTTGAATGAATTAAAAAAAATGAAAATAATAAATAAAATAAAATAATACAATAATTTAGCAATTCGCTTGAAATGTTGGTAATTATCCCCAACCAATATTAGGTTTTTGCAAATGCAAATTATAGCAAAGTTTTTCTTACTATTTTTTCATTTTCTTCAACTTAATAGGCGCGGTGATCGTGTAATTTATTTATTGTTAAATAACATAAGAAAATGATTTGTACCACCAGAAATGCGTATCTCCATGTGAGAAAAAACTATTTATTAAGCTATGACATAAAGTACAAATAATTTGGTGTTAAAAAAAGGATAGCAAATATTCATTATCCTAATGTTGTTTTTATTTGCGTACGAGATGCAGTCAAAAAGTATAATTTTTTCGGATTTTTCAAGAAATAATTATTTCATTTTAGATGATATTCTACTTAGATTTTACATTTTTGAATGATTTTTTAAGAAGAAGCAACATCTAGTAATTCGTTGGTTTAAAAAAAATTGTTATTTATGTTATTTAGTTTATGGTTAAAAGTTGTCACCAAGGAAATCTGATTTTTTTTGTTTATAATTTCTCAAAAGCAAATAAGTTTATTTTTTATTGTAGTTGGTCAATACGATTTTACGAAAAGTATCTATTATTTACATTCATAATTTTTATATTTCTTTTAAATTACATTGAAATAACAATAAGAGAAAAAATAGTAATGTCAAAAACTAGCTGTTTTGTTAGATGTTTATAAAATTATTATGGTGAAAAATAGTTATAATAATTAAATATAGTAAAATAATTATTGTCGTTAAAGGCATAAAAAATTATTGAAACTTATATAAATAAAATCGTGTGAAGTTCGCGACAAATTGGGGATATTGCCGTTTGTACCAATATTTTGCAAACTCTATTAAATAACAACATTTAAGGGGTTCAACTATTGAGAATTCTTCGAAACGTTTACATATATTTTTGATTTAAAAAAAGTGTATTCTCTTGATGGGCATCATTTTTAAACTAAAATTTCATATATCAATTTTTGTTGCCTGGGCGATGGAAATATAGCAGGCACTAATAATGATAGGCAGGTTACTAAGAGATAAATTTTCCTTTGTACCGAGTGTCATTTTTGTGAGTGTTACATAAAAATTTTTTCGTTTCAAAATTATCAATGAAATGAATGTTTTGCCACCAATAATTATTCCACCTAATTACAACAATATGATATGGAATTTTAAACTGACTGTCTAAATATGTTTTTTTTTACATTTTATGGTACTCTGTGTACCTTTTCTATCTGAACACTAATCGAAAAGCTTAAATAAATTTTTGACATAAGGTAATAAAACGTATTGCGCAATTTGGAGTGAAAGTTTTTAAAGCAATCAATTAAACTTTTTTTGACCTAGCTTAAATTTTCGAAAATTATTTATTTGATTGTAAAATACTATTAAATAATGAATAAATAAATAACATATTAATAGTAGTTATAAAATACTCAATATTTTCAGATACAATGTGGCTGCAAATTTATTATTATATGAGACCAGCTAATTTTCAATAAATATAACCAGTCTGTTGGAAAACAGGAAATTTTAATAGGAAATGGAAAATTTTTATCCATTGATTGTGACAGCATCTTTCCTAGAAAAGCTTTAGCCTGTAGTAGACTGCTCTGAATATCTGTTTTCACAATCCGATACCGGCAGTACGCCAGTCCAACAACTCCAATCACAAACCTTTTGGTTAGAACTTCACTTTTGCAGATAATGGCCATCTTTAATCGCAATTATGATAGAGATGATTGTTAACAAGTTATGTCGCCAGCTCAGTTTATTTTGGCGTTATTATACTCAATGGTTTGGAATAATTCTATTCATGTAATTCCCGTTAGTGCATTTTTGATTTTTTTTTGTTTCTTTCAAATTTTACGTTGAATGGTTTGGATTTATATTGCATTGATCAACAGGTTACTTTCAGTATATTTTGTTATTGCATGTTTAGTAAATAATCTGGTAAATAAAAATAAAGCATATTATGAATGTTAACATCAAGAATAATTAATAACAGATGCATAGTATACTATAACTGTTATAAAAAGAAATAAAATTCTAGAAGAATAATTTTCAGTTTTTTTGATGCCGTGTTTTTTATATCTTATCTTACATTACATTTTGAAGATTGAAACGAGACATTTGGCGATATTTTAGAAATTATTCTAAACAACTCCTCTAACGTTTAGTTTAATTTTACACTGACAATAAATTCATGGGATAATTGATGCATTTTTTCATGAAGTTCTGAAATGAGAACGAGCTTCATCTATTTATTTGACACTTCAAAATATCAATTAACAGTTCAACCAACTCATAGTAGTTAAGAGGTCTACTCTGACTGTTTTTGTTGTTTGGAAACAGTATTTATTTATAAAATTTAATGTTTCAACACTAGTCCAGTCTATAGAAAAATAAAAATTATACAAGAATTAGAAAAAAATGCTACTCTTGTCCTTATCGTCGCTGCTAAAAATGTTTTGTGTCCTAACATGGAAGGAAGATAGTGGGTTTACTTGTTTGATGGTATATGGTAAAGAAATGGTTGGATGTGCGCTGTTATGGGTCAATAATAATGACATAACCTTGCTTTTAAGCCAATTTGACAGTTGACATTACTGAATGGACCGATAAATATTAATTAATAAATTTGTGATTAACTTCGTGAATTTGTTTAACTGTTTTTTGATATCAAAGTGGTGCATTACAATCTTCAAATTTGTTCGTGAACCAGCTTCATGAATTATCTGAAGAAGAAATTATCACTGTAAGGTTAGTAACATAGGAAGATTTTGGGAAGCAATTGTTAGGTACTCATCAGATCATCTTCGAGTGCTTTACAATGTGACTGAATAGTGGCGGTGAATATTATCTGTCAAAATCCCAATAACCAAAGGTCCCAAATTTGTTTGAAGTTTGTAAAAATTATTAAATGGTTATGTATTACAGAAAGTGTAGATTTTATGGAATCTTTAGAAATAATTATAATATACAATGAAAACACTATATTAATTCTTACATATAGTGTAGTAAAGTTTAATATTAAATTTACGTAAAAATACTTGAAGCGAAGTTTTGCATCTACTTTTTTTGGATACTTAATATTACTAATATAATAACAATAACAATTAATATATATTTACAAAATAATGTACATATCAAATTTTTGATTACGTTTACATATATTATGGTGCATGGTAACAGTTTATAATTTTTTTGCATAAATCTAAATAACTTTTACTTACTGTTGATTTTGAATTTGATATTTTAAACATAGCAAGGAACGCAACTTCTTTCTAAATAAGTTTGGCTAAGTAGGTTCAATACTTAGATAAAAATCAGTTAAATGGTTTGGAAGTTTACCTCCCAAAATTCATCTGTAGTTAATTTTAAAAGAAACTTCCACAGGCTACTGTAATACTATTTACAAATCTTCTTGATTCGTCCTGCGTTGTTAGTTGATGAATCGAACTTGTAATCAATCCGAGAATCTTAACCGCGACTCAAGACGAATTTGGAAATCAGTTACCATTCACCCCCTTCCTTAGTGTCGCCCCCCTCAAACAATATATAAGCATGTACAGGATAAATGAGAGCCAGTTTCGACACGTCGGCAACTTTGATCTGTAAACAACCTACGCAGGAGGAATCTAGAAGTCATGTAAGTGGTATTACAGTAGCCTGTAGATGTTTCTTTGAAAAATTAAAGTTATAAAGTGATTTTGGCAAAATTAAAGCAAACTACCATTAAAATTAAAAAAAAACTTAAATATAGCTTAACCATTTTAGTACCAAACATATTTTATCCACATTCTCTTAAGAAGATTTTATACTATGATAATAAAAACACAGAAATTGACAAAAAAAAGTACAGAACGTGTATGGTGTTTTGCCACCGTTCACTTCTTTTTTACACATGGAGCAAATGAAGTTGGTTCTTTTAACATTGACTTTCTCTCTGGTACACTTCTAACACTGAAAGTAAATTCCAGCCTTCCAAAAATAGTGAACATTACTTTTTCCAAAACTTCAGAGTCCTTCTTTAATCTGAGTTTGAGTATAGTATTTTATCACATTTATCCCACCACCCATGAATTGATTGTAGACATGTGTCATAGCTGGCTTGAATATTTCTGTTTCATAATTTCCACGTTTCTTTTTTTTTGGAAACGAGGATTTACTAACATATTTGGGCTCACCAACTTTCGTTTTTTCTTGCTTCCTTGGGTATAAGGTTTCTGTTGCACCTTATAGTGCCAGTTACGTGTGAACATAGGAGTTTTTCCAGCACTACAGAATTTCGGCCTATCTTTCATCCTTATCGTCATTAGATTATGTTCCACGGTAATAATAAAAACAATATTTAATAATATTATCACAGAGCATAAAAAGTGCCCTATTTATAGTTTTTTATTTGTTTGATGGTGGTTTGGTATTTTGTTACAACCAGAGATTGATCTATACTGTTTATTAAGCACATAGTGCTAACGAAAAACTGTATTCGCGATGTCCTGGTGATGTTATTGTCATGATTAACTAAAGGAAAATTTTTAAAAGACCACGGAATATGACGAATTATTATTCCGTAGGCTCTCTTGTGATATCCATTCAATGCGTCCAATAGTTCGCCCACGAATGAGGTTTCAAATTTGGATGTGATTCAAAAAATTGCAATGCATACGAATTGGTTTCGATAACCATTTTGTTATGCAAAAACTAGATTGAAATATTCCAGTTGGGCTGCGGCATCTGGAGGAGCATGCTTGGTTAGAAAGAAATCCATACTGAGGTTATTGTGTAAATATGGATCTGAGGGTAGTTCCACAAATTGGATATTTGATTGGGTCGTATTTTCACTCACTATCGCTACTAATAACACGCAACCTCCGATTGATAGGAACCACAATATCCGCTATCTCTCTCATAATCACTAACGAAGTTTTCAAATTTCGCAATCATTTCAGTCTCAAAAATTAATAATCGCGATGTTTATATAAAAAGGAGCTGGCATTTTTTACAACTAGCGAGAGCATTACGATGGTAATAAATGGGTTATGGATTAAAAGTCATTGATATTTTGAAAATATTACTCCCCGCTATCATGTTCACCACGAATAACAATGCAATTGTTGCAGAATATCTTTTTTTTGGGCCAAAACTTTTATTTTAATAAATCAGTTTATGAACGCTCCATGGCTTATAACATTATAAATTATTACTGCTTTGGGATATTTAGAGCAACTACCACGAGATAGATGGATGAATTACGTATAACATAACAATAGTCGCTTGGATTTTAATTTTGACAATAGCTGTAATTATTTTTTCTTTGGTATAATTAACAGCAATGCACAGATTTGCACGTTTTTATAAGAACATGAAACTATAAAAAAGACATTTGATCATAATGCCGTAATTAAGCGATGAATACCACAGACTTACCTTAATTAAACAATAATTAGCAATATACGTGGTTCTCAAGCTAATAGCTAAGGAGAAAGGAGATGCAGAATAACATAAATATAAGTTTATTTCAAAATTTATTTAAAAGGCTTATATAATCTGCTGTAATACATGCGTTTATTAAAATACTAGAGCATATTAGTGAATAAGACTGTCTTAATCTTATAAAATATTTATTTCAGAACTCGCGAATGAAAATTTTGTATAGTGATGATGGCATTTAATATTAGGGATATGTGTTTGGTGTTTGTATTTTCAAGATTTGTGTCATTAATGTTACATCGGCTATTAATAACTTGAAAAATACCTGGCAAACGTCTAAATATTTCTTGGTTGAGCTCTTGTTTTGGCACATCGGCTATTATTCCAAGTTTTCCTTTTAGTTGAAATTGAGTTGCGCCAACTTATGTTAAAGTTAGTAGCTAAATAAATACCTTGAATTGAACTCGGGTGGCTTTTACTTATATAAATTCCTTGTAAAATTTCGATATATTTTAAAGGATTACGGTTATTTGTTTCAAATGTTATTATCTAAAAGTGACAAATGTGTCCAAGATAGGGATGTCTATATGGGAATATTGGAAATTATAACAGTTGCAAAATGTCCTGTTGAGCATATGTCCATCACTTCTGAAGATACCACAACAAAAACCGAAATTTTCCGATTTCATTTATGTGCGATGAATCATTGGCGTACGAAATTAACACTATCATAGTCGAATTAAGTTGCGCGAATTATTAAAAAATATTCACAATTCAATTTCCTAATTTCCTTAATTTCATATGAAATATCTTTACAAACACTTCTTATTCCTTTTTAAGCAAATCTACAACGCTGAAAGTGATAAAATAAATGCACCCGTCTATGATATACGGGTTTATATATCTATGGAAAGACTCTGGAATCTGCGGCATTTTTACTTTACAGTCTTTATAATAATGGGTGTTTTTTTTATATATAGAACTTTAAGTTGGCATTACTGTTCAAGATGGCGACCGATTTAAATTTTAAATTTTAAAAACTCACTATTTGCACAAAAATAAAGCACATTTTGACGTACTACAACACGCACCTAAAATGAAGGCTAAACAACTTCCCTATAATGACCTAAGCGTCTGTTCATTGCAACTCTGTCAGATGATAAAAGTACATTTCTTACTAACTTACTAACGATATAAAGATGTAATGTAATTTTATGGATTGTGCTTAATGATATTGCAGCATGATCACTTTGTTAACCTACAATGAATAAAATTTCTTATTTAACTATCCTTTTTTAAATCTAAAAATGTAAACAATGGCATCTAACTTGATTTCGATAGAGTTTTGTGCGTAAAACGTGGCTATGGTGAACGATTTCGCACATCATGTTGTTTTATATAAAACTTTGATGGTTTTAAAATGTTATGTAGGCGGATTACAATATTTTTAACATACCGAATAAAATAAGAGGAAGAACGAGTTTTGGTCACAATTTTACATGGGGAATAACTGTGCATAGTGAATATTCAAATGTCGTATTCTCAAGTAAGCAAATTTTGTTTTAGGAGCCGTATGGGGAGAAGCGCATTCATGCAACAGGTGCGGATTCGAATGCGAGTCCGCATGCGGCACCAGACACTTCAGAATTTGCTGCTTCAATTATTTGAAGAAGCGAAGCGTGGATCCGACACCATTATCTTCGGACCCAAGTGAAAAGTTTGAAATGTGGTTAGAAAAGTCGAGATACCCGTACCATCAACCCAGAAGAGTCCCCTACGACTCTTTTTTCCAATATAAGATTGGCAAGAATGTAAACCATGACGTGGCTTTTTAGCAATAAAAGTTATGTTCAGATCACGTCGCACTCTACCTAAAAAAGTGGTTATACGGAAACGCGATGAACTGAGAGAGGTGTTTTACGAATTTTTTAATATTTACTTTTTGTAACACGAGTTGTATTTATAGTCATTGTCATCCAGTCGCATTGGAAAGTGATTTTTAGATTTATATTTTAGCGCATTCTAGTAAGATTTGGTTGGAATTTACATCGATTTGCGCCAAAATTGCTGATTGCAACCCGCGATGAATCCAGGTTAATTCCAAACAAGATTTTTTTTTAAATTTTATGTAAAGAAGGGGATTAGTACTCTTTGTAAATATAATTGCTTTATATTCTACGGTTCTAATTTGTCTCTCCTACCGAACTTCAAGGATATTAATTTAGGTATAACGAACATGTTGTATAATGTGTAATTGATACGATTTTGAAGGCAAATAAAAATTTGCAACGGATATGTGTTTTTCTTAAGATTTTGGGATAACTAAAGTTATCTTTGGAGATTTCTATGTCGTAAATAGTAATTTATATCGACCAACTGAATTTATCAAATTTACAGCACCTTTAAAAAAAAGTGAAACACGTTCGTCCATATTCTTCAAGTCATGCTGCTTTTGAAAAACTTTTAAAACTTTAATTCCCGATAACGGCTTTCTAAAAGCATTTTTTAATAGTAGGTGAGTATTCAGTTGCAAAGTTATGATTTGTTCTACCTGGCAACTGCGCCCGGCTAAGGGAGTTTATATTCGCCGGGACATAAGTTGAACATTCAGTATTCGGAATTCGAACTTAAAACATGTATTCTGCAGAATGGTGTAAAGTAATAAAACATCATTGCGCAGGCAAAGAGAACTACAGAGTGACATTTCAGTGTGTGGTATTGTGGTAGTCTACTTACCAATAATATCTAAAGTATTAGAACCAGTAATAAATAGGCAATTAATTTAACATCTTGAGTAGTGTAGTTTTCGAATAGGGCACAATTGCACAACAGCAGTTCTTAATGTCACTGATTACCGAACTCTTGATTCATTAATGGTAACGGTTTCAGTCCTTCTAGACTGTTCTAAAGCTTTTGAGATGTCATATTTATTGTCTTAAAAATTGGAAGATTACACAACATTCTAAAAATTGAAATTGCTGCACAACTGGCGTACATTTTGTATAAATTAACAAAATATTAGCGGGCAATCTTCGAAAATTAAATATTGTTTCTGGTGATTCCCAAATATGTCAAAATGTCAAAACGCGTAGTGTCGGCCGGTTATCGTGTAATTGGGTTTGTTGTTGGTTGTTGTTGTGCAGTAAAAAATATTCCAGATACGTTTTGCTATGTGTGTGGTTCTTTTGTGGTCAAGAAATTTAGACGTAAAATTACACCCCTGTTTAAAAAACAATACTACGATTATTTTGGCTGCCTTGGGCGCCGCACATTGTTTGTAAGGTATGTGAAGAAGATTTAAGACGGAATAATGGAACCAGGTGATCCCTAAAACCAGTTTATCTGAACTTGAAATTGATGAGGATACGATTAGTGGTATTGGTGATATATGGAGTGTTTCTCATTAACAACGGTTGTTTTCACAATCGGAATTCCTAATTTAATAAAGAAACTTGGTAGATACTACAATTCTGAGGACTGGAGGTTTTTTATTGACTTATCCAAGAGAACACTTAAAGCTGTTCTTTTGTAGAACGGTAATGTTCTTGTTTTGGTGCCTGTTGCTCATTCTGTACAAATGAAAGAATGGTAAGAAAATCTGGAACTATTGCTTGAGAAAATGAAATACAAGGACTATAGTTCGATGGTTTGTGGAGACATAAGAATTGTGGGACTTCTACTAGGTCGGAGTCGGGATATACAAAAATATATACCTGTTCTCTGTGCGAGTGGGACAGTAGAAACAGATAGCAATATTGGGTGAAAAAAAAAAAAAAAACTGACGAAAACAGGTTAATTTAACTCCCGGATCCGAAAATATTTTTTACGATAGTCTTATTGATTCATGAAAAATGATTACCGATGAAGTATTACGTTATAGCTTTAAACAAAGTTACAACATGTTTTAAATACCAATTCTTATATGCAAAATTAAAGGATAGAATTTTTATAAGTCCTCAAATAAGGCGACTAATAGAAGGTCAAGACTTTGTGAATATCGTGAACCGACTTTGAAAAGGTTTTAGTTTAGGGGTTTTAGTTATTGATTTGTAAAAGGTTTTCTAGGAAATTACAAAGACATTGTAGAAAAGATTTAGGGAAATGGGATGCAATATGAGTATAAAATTACAATTTTACCCTCACATCAGGACTAATTTCCCGAAAATTTTGTTGCCTGCGAGATGTTCCGTCAAGATATTAAGGTCGATGGAATGTTGCAATGATGCCAGATTACTGCTAGTCATAATTAATTAAAATGTTCTAATTCAGTTTTTGTTCTTGTACTAATCTTTAAATCTACCGAGATTCTTATTAATTAAACCTTTGCAAATTGCAGTGCGTTAATGTATAACAAAATAATAATTTCATTTAAAATTCGGTACTGATATAATTGAGTTATAACACTTCCATTACACAGAACACCAATTTTTGAAACTTCTCGAATAATGCCATTCGAAGTTTTTCACCTGATTACTTAAAGAGCTGCCCGAGTTTAACAAATATTCTGTTTTCTCTGTTGAATCATTTTTTTGTTTTTTTTTTCGCTAGATTGCACTTACTGTTTAGATATACCTGGTTAAGTGGAATATCAGCTCTTCTTTATTTTTAATGATAGGGATGAACTGAACATTTATGTGATCTAATGTATGTTATATTTGAACTGAGGTGGCTTCTACTTGATGAAAATCCATTTATCAAAATAAATAAGAACTAAAAGTTCAGATTTTCACGAAATTATATATTATGACATGAACATTGTTTCGACAACACCGTGTCTTTATCAAATGTAATATTTACAAACTACCTGCTACTATATATACCGAAAAATGACCATACAACCGTAATTAATGTCGTTGTGAGAATTTAAATTCAATAAAGCAGAGGTATTTAAATCTAAATGATCGTTAAGCAATACATCTGAATGTCTCATTTTGTTATGTCTCCATGGCTTCCAATAAATTTAATTTTCTACCTTTTGTGGCTGTAAGTAAAATATCAAAATTGTCGTGGAAAATGTGTTTTCCTGTGTTTAAGTGTGTAGCACAATTAGAATCTAGACTGTTTTTAAACGCTCTTTTATGTTCGTTAATGCGTGTAGACACCCGAGTTTTGAGATTTTGGACATTTCGTTTTATTGTTTTTTAAAAATTTTCCTAATGTGTTGTTGGTTGTGAAAGCTATTTTTAAACTACATTTTGACAAATATTTTGAAACTTTTTCATTAGGTTTTCCTATGTATGCAATTGTTTTAAATTGTTCGTGTTCTGTATTAGGTTTCGGATAAATAGAGTTTACTGTTGTCGGGATTTGTTTTTTATTTATAATTTTATCTATAATGGACGGATTGTAGCCGTTTTTCAGTGCAATTTGTTTTATTATATTAAGTTCTTTGTTGTATTTTTTTGTTGAGAGTGGCGTATTAAGAAGTGTGTCTATAAAAAGTGAAATGCAGAAATTTTGTGCCTATAAGGGTGATTTGAGCTGTTATGTATGACTGTGTCCTTGTGTGAAGGTTTATGATAAATGGAAAAATCTAATTTGTTTTGCGTTTTCGTAATAGTGAAGTCTAAAAAATTAATAGAGTTATTCTGTTCAATCTCGCTAGCGAATTTTATACGATTATGTAATGAGTTAATGTAAATTACCAAAGAATTCAATTGTCTCTCCGTTCCAACAAAGCAAGCAAAGACATCATCCACGTATCTATACCACCATAGAAAACTTTTACTTAAAGAATGTTCTAGTATGATATTTTCCAAATTATCCATAGAAATCTCGGCTAACAAAGAACCTTCTTTAGAGATGTAAATCTGTCCATTAAATTCTAAATAATGTTGGTCTAAAGATACTATTAAGCAATCTAATAAATCTTGTTTCAGCAATGGGTTAACTTGTTTCCGAGTTAGGGTAAAATCTACTTAATCTATCACATCCATAGGTGGAATACTAGGAAATAAGTTTTGTACATCAAAAGACAATAGTGTTGCGTTAGAAGGGATTTTGATATCTTTAATTTTGTTGATTAATTCAAAAGAATTTTTTATTGCAAATTTTGTTTTAATATCTGTGTGGAACTTTAAAATATTTACTAATTTTGTTGAGAGTTTAGTTTAATGTTATTTTCAGAAGCTTTGTTTTTGATTTTGTTTTGAATTTCTTTGTGTTTGTTGTTATCTATTAATTCAGAGTATATAATATTCGCTAATACATGTTTGTTTAAATTGGAATCGTTAATGTCCTTAATTGCTAATTCTCAATCGATCCCTAAACAGTCTAATTCTTTATTAATGTACGAGTGATGTAAGTTAAACTTTAAATTTAAAATCTTTAAACTTTAAACTATTTACTAATATATAATTAATTTACTAATATAAATATTTACTAATTTCGTTGAGAGTTTAACTGCTAGAGCAGTTAAATAAGACATTACTGGTCTTGTTTATGTAATTTAACTGAAAAATATAACTATAACTATAACATGGAATTGAGTATACTGCGTAGACCGATTACGAAAAGGACATTTGTGCACTGTGTCTTCAAACTAGCAAAGTTAAATGAAATTGAGGGTTCCTTAGGGTTGTAAAGCTTGGCTGTCGGACAATTGCAAGTATATTGCTCCAGTTCAACAATTTTTGGTGTGTTGGTTTTGATACCGGTAATCGCTACTAGTGGATGTTGGTATCATGGGAAATTCTTCTCAGTTGGGCGTTCAAATTTGTCGAGTCTTTGATGTTTTTGAGCTTTATTTCTAACTTGCCTTTCATTATTAACTTCAGAAATTGAAAAGTATTACGAAAAACTATGGCCAAGATCTGCAGCCTACCTGCGCTTTATAATTCCTTCTTTCTGCTCATTCGTCTTAAGATCTCTGCGTTGGTTGTATGTGAAGTCCATTATATTTTTAATAATTGTCTTACTTTAAGAGACCATGCTTCGATGCCATACGGAATAAACTTAGCCTTTGACAAAGCGGTATCGCAGTTTTTAATTGAAGTCCTGCTTAATCATCGTTCAATAATTAGTTTTTCCAACTGGTTCCATTCTGCATCCAGCAGCCAAAGTACTCGATCTTAGTAATTCATTCAATATGTTTGTACGTGTGTTCGGCCTTTTACTCACAACCATTGGTTTGGTTCTGCTACAGTGTTCTAATAATCACTAGATCGTTCCCATCTTCTCTACTGAAAAATTTCTAATAGCTTCTTGTGGGGGTGAATCAAAGACAGCCAATGAAATACATGTAAACCTCGAACTGGCATTCGCTCATATCTTCCTCACACGTTCTATGTATTCCATTGTGATGATCAGGCTGATAGTGAGGACTGGTCATAAAGGCCGACAAGTTTCAGTGGATAGCCGATATCGTGACTCCCTAGGAGTTTTGCTTTGCTGTATTGCTTGGATAAATGCGAATTTCAATATTTTTGGGGATTTGTCAACTCTGATCTGACAGTTTTCCAGTCATCTTTTCTTTGCTCGTACGTCCGTGATTACTTTATTGTTATTAAGTCTTGACACATGTGTAGTTTTTCTATTTGTAAATATTTACTGACATTAGTAGTAAAGATGGATTATCGGTTGTGACACTTCAATCAAAGCGAATTGATGTGGAAGATATGAATGCTGATGTTTGATTATTTCCAGTAGGTCTTAAAAAGTGATCTATGGAAACCATCATTTATCTGAACTTTACTATACAATCTTTAAATTGACCACCTTGTTTAACGATGGCTTTCATTATATATTTACATTTTATTACTTTTCTTTACAGAAAACAACCCACGACGGGGAACAGTTTTTAAATAAAATTTATCTGCATGTCGAATAAAGGATTAATTTTAAATCCATCAGAGATTTAAAATTTTACGCGGTATCTCGAAAAAATTCCGGCCTTATATCAGCAGATACGTAAAGAAGGAGATTGCGTTATCAAAGATCTGTGAAACGCAATCATTGCCAAAATAAATGATAAATGTATTGGTTTTAATGTTTTGTGTGTGTAGAATGGAGTTTTTGTCTGGCATTAGCTTAATCAAATCGCGCCCTTATGAATACGTTGCGGATTGGTGTTGTGTTTTTATTCTTCACCTCGAGTAATCAAAAATGTCCCAAATTAATTACGACATTCTCACAAGTAAACTGCACCGATAGGGCTACCGACATCGATGCTTATTTTTATAGTTTAGACGAAAGTATCAGTTGTGTACCCAAATGTGAATCATATTCTTCTAGTAAGTATTGCCGTCGTAACGATTAAAAGTGGACTAGGTTTAAGTTATAAACTAATAAACTATAAATTAAATTCATGGACTGCAGGCGGCATTGATATTTTCTGAGAGAAGGTAATGCTTCTACATTTCACGCAGTAACCTGGACTCTGCTCCATTTTCTTTCTAAACAGGGATTTCCGCACACTGAACTAGATTTTCTAGAACATTTAAGAAGATATGGGCATATTTTTAGTAAATACTGAAGTAAAAATGCATCATCCAAATTTATTGACGATTTGTCAATAACCATGTGGGTTGTTGGGTCCCTCAAGGTCATTACTTAAAAACAAAATGGGAAATTTCGCCCATGCGCAAGCTAAATGAACCATTTTTTAATGGTCGCTTCATCGGCAAAGCAAGGCCTTTATATTTTTGGTAGCAATATGGATAATACAGGGCCACCAAATACTTTTCACAAATAAATTTCACAGACTAACCTGCAGTTTGAGCCATTTTCTATCTAAACATCGTAACTCGTTTTCATTCTGAAAATTTAATGCAGAAGGAATATAAAAGTCTATGTAGTTATATGCAAGTATCGGATGTGTTAAATACAAGAGATCTTTGGATTTAAGAGAACTTTTAGATTACTAACTTTGGATTATTCATGGTGCAATATATTTTATATTTTATAACGTCTTTATTCTTATAAATATTTCTCTTTGATTTCCGCACTATTTAGGAAATGTTTAGGGTTATGTGACATGAAACATCAGCATGCTGGAAAAAATCACGCCGAAAGAGATATCAGGTTAAGTAGCAGTATTTGAAAAGGAATTTACACAAATAGGTTTAAAGATTTGTCGTGATTGTCGAGTCTAGAATAAAAACGGGTGACTTTTTTTTACTGTTTGGGACATATGGATGGGATTGGCTTTTAATGTTTTATAAGTAAGAAAATTCTTGAACTTTTGGAATCTGTCACTATCCTATGTCGTTAAAGCCGGGCCAAAATCCGAATCAGCACATGGATAACTTAGATAATTAATTATATTAATAATCCAATGGAACTCATTCTTTCACGATTTGGATAGAATTCTTTAGGCAATTCATAGGAGTATTCATTGATATGTTTAATGAATCCTATATTAGTATCCATCATTAGCCCCAGATTTTTTGTTTCAATTTAAAACTCTATAACAGTCTCATTCATTTTTTATTTTCGATGATTTTTGACAGAGTCTGCCTTCACATTAAGGTTTAGATTATGAGCTGGAGATATATCGAACAGAGAATTTAGTCCCTCGTTAATCGTTGTTGCTTTCTGTGAGCGCCATCATTAAGAGGTATATGTTTAAAAATATAAGGAAAGCTATAACTGTAGGCTGAGAAGAACAAAGGTCGCAAGATGTAGCCTTGAGGTACGCTCTTTGTCACAAAGAGGCGTGATCTTCTATCAAAGGAAGAGTTAATTAATTTAGTAGATCTATATTGAAAACCAAAAAAAAAAAGAATTTCATTACCAACAGTATTCAAAGTTCTGCTGTAATACCGTGGAATAAGACAAGACACTTTATTTCGATCGGTCTCATAAAGCAAGTAGTCAGTTATTGTAGTAAGTATAATCTGGTTCTTTTTTGAAAGCTTGGTAAGATACTAATTGGCCTAAAATGTCATATGTCACTGGTGTTCGAAATTTTAAAGAAATTATGAGTATCTAAGGCACATCTTTATAAAGAGTGTTGTGTTCGGTGATTAATTACAAGATCTGATAATAATCGTTTGTAAGGATGGATTGTTAGATACAGTAGCGTTGATTTTTTTAGACGTCAAACATTTTTTAATATCAGCCTGGCTAACTTCATTAAAACAAAAAGTGTAATTGGGATGTAATTTATGCTTTTTGTATTTTTTCAAAAATTGCAGAAGTGATTCCGCTTTAGAAAAACAAGGCGTAGAAGTAAAGTTCTGGTTGATTTATTCAAGATTAACCTGGTGATATGACAAAGCGTTATTTTCTTTATTTATTATTCCCAGATGTGTAAGAAAATTATACCTAGTTTTATAGTCTTACAGTTTGTATTTATATTTTATTGAGGAAAGTATAAGGGTCACACCTTGTACCTTCCAATGATATGGAAGCTTAAGCTTATCAATTTGACAATTTATGTGGATATTGCACTTATTATTTTGCTATGAAAAACTGAATTTTTCTAAATAAAGTGATTACTTAAGTTCCAGCAATTGGCATTTAACCATGTTATTATATATAACCTTATGTTTCTTCAATAATACAAGCGTTTCCTCAATCACTTAATATTTATTGAATTTTTCTTTTCTATAAATGGACTGTATCTCACTTTGCGGCGACGCCGCGACCCATGCCGTGAACGTCTACCCCGTAACGCTACAAAATTGTTACTAGCCTAGCAGAAACGTAGACCTTGCCGGTTTGGCGTACAACGCCCTGTTGTCACATTGACTGAAATGTCCGGCATGTTTAAGATACACAAAATTAAAAAGAAATTCACATAATTTTGAACTCAACACCTTATCTTTCACTAATAATAGCTAACAATTTCAAAAAAGGTGTTGGTGTAGAAATTAATAAAATAATTAATAATTATCAGAAAAAAGGATATAATTAACAAATTCATTCCAAATTTACAGAAAATAAATATTTCGGCAACCCTATATTTTATATTTCTAACACCAATTATTAAACAAGAAATAAAGTTCACTAAAAAAGAAAACAAGTAAGATTTGAGTATAATTTCTCATCGAATTTGGAACCACGTTTGAATAAGAAAAAGAATCTAAGTAGAGTCCCTAATGAGATTTTCTTTGATAAAACCCAGGAATGGAAAGCTATAATAATCGGGAAGTGATCGTGGTTGGTTGTATCTACAGTGCACCTACGCCAAATTGCTGCGTCTATTTTAATAAAATTGTGTGCTCCTAAAGCTTAGATCCTTCCTCATTAATGAATAATACATTTTTATATGTTTTCCAACCAACTGTTCTCTGGTATTAATTCACACTGAATTTTTCTTATATTAATTACATGGGCGGACATTTTTGGGTTTATACTATTGCGTCTAACTTTGTTTTTAATTTGGCCCATATTGTTTTTATAGGATACAAATCACAGATTGTCTACGAAATAAGTTTTACCATACAATTTGGTTCTAAAAACTGCAACTAGCTGTGTTTTGTACAATTATCTTCAAAATAAACGTCATGTTGACTAAGCAACTTTTACATAACCTCATTTCTGTTGCTGATCAATGGTACTTTTTTAGGTAAAGGGCTCTGATCTGCCTTGTGGGATATTTGGAAGAAGAGAACTTTTATCGAATTTTCAAAAAGCTCATTTGTCATCTATTGATGGCAATCTAATTAGCAGTCTTTAATGTTTTTTGCTAAAAGTCGTAAAGCATATGTCACCCAACCTTCGAGCCATAGTGTGAAATACAGTTCGATGAAGAATTTTACTTTTATTTATAGTGTTTTCATTAAGTCTCTGTCACATCGTTCCTTTCCTTCTAGTGAACCATTGCTAAGGAGTCGAAGCAAGGTTAAGTGCCAGTTAGCTGCTCTGTGCTCCCAATGGCAGTTTCCATTTAGATTAGATTCACATATTAAGAGCCAGCAATCTGCCTGTCCATCACTGCTACCCTATTGTGACTTTCTCCAAGATTTATCTAGATTCGTTTCTCTGATCAAACTCCACAACTTCTTTTCTTCTTCTCCTCCTTGATGTAGCTCAATGCCTCTGGTTTGGTTGTGCACAGCAGATGGAAACGCACTCTCAATAGTTCTTTACACTGACATATTATGTAGATGGCTGATTGCTACTCTTCTTTTTAGCATCTCCATTCAGTTTTTCTTCTATTCTGCCATTCCAGTCTTCAGCTGGCTCTGGACGGTCAATAGATTTACTCTTACGGCCTTTATTTTGTGGATTTGCTGTTCTTCTCTAAATTAGGTCGGGAATTCTTTCTGTCTTTGCCTTGACATATCTCTCCACCATCGTCATGATTATTTTCCCATTCATTGTTTTACGGCTGATCATGTACCCTGAGGAGCCTTCAATGGCTACTTCGTCATCGCTTTCGTTACCTTTGTGACCTTCATGCCCTACTATCCATAATAACATCACTTTATTCTGACTTGCTATCTGGCTTAATGAATGCCTTATGACAATCCAGAACTAACTTGGACGATATTTTTCTGGATTGCAAGCTTTTGTTGCCTCCTAACTGACCGTGTAGATCGCAATTGTCTTAGTTAGTACGAACCTTTTTCAATTCTATTTCTCTTGTACAATGTTCTATTGCCTTGATGTCAGCTGGAAACACTGTTACTTAACTGTTACTTAACAATACTTGACAGCAATAAGATTTCAACTGCCTTTGTATCTCTTTAGAGTTTGTCATGTTTCTTGCTATGCCCACCAATTATCTTTCAGCAGTAGGACTTCTAGTGCTGCAATTTGCTCTGTGTTCATGGCTCCAGTAACTCACAGACTTGCTAGCCTTTGCACGCTACTCAGCTGCCTTATCACCTCCATCCGCATGGTTCTTGCCCAACAAACAATTGCTTCATTCGCTATTATTGGTCTTACTACTGTTCATTTCAAAGTGTCATTTTTGGATTTAGCAATCACACATCCTTCTGCACCTTCTTAGTACAATTGTTGCCATAAGAGCGATTCTTTGAATGTGCATTTTACAACCAAGCCTTTGGTCGAATACTTGGCAGCTTCCATACCCTTTGACGATTTTTTTTGTTAAAATAAATATTAGCGGATTTTATTCACCACGTTAAAGTTTCAGGAATGTTAGAGTAAACGTTGACTGATGTTTTCGAACAGTTTTTTATATTATTATTATTAAAGATAATAATAATAAGTAATACTGATGGATAAATAACAAATATAGAAACAATAACAAACAGCGAATACGTATTAAAAGGTATCAAAACAAAGAAAATCCTTAATATTGTAATAGGCGAGGCGTAGCAATTTGTCTTTAAGAGTGAATTTAAATTTTGTTTGACTAGTTATCTCCTTCAGTTCGATATGCAATTTATTATAAAATTTTACAGTCAAAACAAAGGGACTATTTGCTGTAAGAGACAGTCGATGTGTAGGTATTTTTATGTTAAGATTCGGTCTCAAACTGTACTGAATATCTGATTTTCTTGAGGGCATATAAAGATTAGAGTTACTTTTTACATACGTGGCACAATTTAGTATGTACATACTAGGAGGTGTCAATAAAGAGTGTTGTGGAAATAGGTTCCGACATGAAAAATTCCATGGCTTAAGCAGTATAGTACGTAAAATGCGTTTCTGCATCCTAAAGACTTGCTCTGCACGTGGGGAACCTCCCCAACAAACCAAGGCGTAGTTGAGACACGAATAGACATACGAAAAATAGTACATTTTTAACAACATTCCTTCTTCAAACTTTTCAAAAATTGAACGGAGGGTGGCTTTTACTTGATGAAAATCCATTTATCAAAATAAATAAGAACTAAAAGTTCAGATTTTCAGATCTGAACTTTTAGTTCTTATTTATTTCGTCAAACTTTTCTTTAACCCATTGTCTAAACATAAAAAATAATGATTGACAATCCCAAAATAAAAATAGCTATAAATAGCTAATAAATGGGCTTTTTATTCATTTAGTTCTCAGTTTAAGGATAAAGGACCTTCCTTTTTATGATAGGCGGAGCAAGTTGTTTTGAAAATAAACAACGACCAAAAATATGTTCATTATTTATATTTTGAAGTATAAATAATATATTGTCTGCAAGATCAAAAAAGTTCATTAGGGAATTTTTTTAATTATTTTTTTTTACTCCGCTGTATAGAATATCAAATTTTTAACGTCAGGTAATGTTAGTCGTCGATATTGATCGGAGTGGAAGTTTTCGGTAGATTTCAGGCTTGGTATTTTCATGTTTTTCAATTTTGACGGTTACGTCATAATTCACCGAATGAAACTAACCAAAACTAACCAAAAACCAATGATCGTATGAAAGTGGTTCCGCTGGTGCGAAATCATACTCGTGTCTAAAAATTTGTATTTTTTATCGACATTTTCATCCGGAAAAGAAAAAAATTAAATTGTCTATTTAACTTATTCAATTAATTTTAATGCCTCTTACTCTTGGTAACCTAGGAAGATAATGCTAAAAATATACTCCAGTTCATTTTGATAAAACATTCCACGTTATACATTACTGATCTATTTCATTGTTGCAGATCTCGATGCGTCGTGCGAATCTATGGATGACAAATGCATGCCTGGTTACGCTTGCGAAAAAAGATGCGGACCAACTGGTACGAATTGGTTTATGCAAATCGTAAGGTTTTAGGATACGCATGCCCTATTAACCCTATTTGCATTCTTTTCTAATTTCAAAACATTATATTCGAATCAAAAATGGAAACTATAAATAATATTTTTCTACTCCCGTTTGCAAAATATCTAATTACTCACCGATCTAGAGTGCGGGAAGCGTCATTTTATCACGTCAGTTTCATTTCCCATGAATGATTTGGGAACAATCGCATGTTTTCGGAGATATTTCTCACGGTTTGAATTTTGACGTTTGTAGTCGTGTTGTTTTGCGAAAATGTACCAATGCCGTAGAAAAAGTATAGAATGTTCGGTAAACTTTTTAACTCGTTTATTAAAAACCCGCTCCGCTCGTGCCAAATAAACTCATGAGTCAAATGCCGTTTACCGCACTTGTTGCATAATATACTATATAAGACTTTTATATTTTCGAAACTTCACTGATATAACTTTTAATCACGGTTAACAAATCTTATGAATGAATAAACCTTGCCAGAGTTCATGTTTCTTGGATTCAAGACCAGATTCAAGGCTAAGTCCCAAATTGCTTCTGCGAAAAACGGAGGAGGGAAAGTAAATGGGGATGTTTTTTCGATCTGGAACAGGACCAATCATTTAAGTATAAACTAAAATGGGCCGTTCTCATTACAAGGAGATATTGTAAAATACAATGCTATCGTTTGCTGAAGAAGATATGCCATTGCCATTGCGATTTTGACAGGATTCCATTGTAGAAGAAGAGACGCCAACATAATAATGATGGGGAAGTACTCATACAAGTTAGTGAAAGAATGGTTTTGAAAGAAAAACATAATTGTGCTTGAATGGCCATCCCAATCGCCTTATCTGAATTTCATCTTTGGAATGTTTTGGGTAGAGGTATTCGAACACATTCCATTGTTAAAAATCAGCAAAAACTCTTTGGTATCTTTGAATCAGAGTTGTCACATATTCCAACAGAAAGTGTACAGAACTAGGTTGAGTTTGTGCCCATAATGACGGAAGACGGTCTTACATGCTGGTGGCTTTGCTATACAATATAAAAAAAATCATATATGCTTAAAATGGCTTTATTAATTCTGAAAGTCGTTTCGCTAGGTCTTTCCGACATATTTTTGTAATATTTTCATTACGGCCCTTTTATTTATTATATTTAAGGAATTTAAATTTGTAAATCTATCTACAGTTTTGCAATGTAGCATAAAGTAGAACAAAAATTCCGCAAATAAAAACATAATAAACATTTCCATACTTTTCTGATCACTATATGTACAGGGTATTTGCATATTCATGTACAACTAAGAACTTATTTTAAATATTAAATGGTGGCTTTTTAATTTATTAGAAGTTTCTAGATATCCTTCACATATAATATCTGTTGTTGGTGTATTTCGAATTTTATGTCATGACTTTTGCATGTCTGACTAAATATTGATTTCTTCTGTTGAAAGCCTTTATTATATAATTTAAATTAATTATAGAAGGGAAACAAACAACTTTAGTGATCTGCTATGGTATTTAAATAAATAAATACATGATAATCAAAAAATAACATTAAAATTTTAAATAATTCAATCTTTGAAAGGTTGGAGAATCGGTTTTTTTAATATCCGGAATCCGGAAAACTTATTTTTTTCAAGTTTTCCAAAGCAACTTTTTTCCCGGTACACCCTAATCTGAAGAAATAGGAATCAGAGATGGACTACAATGAATATTTTAATAAAACGTTTTTCTTTAAATTCATTTAAAAATCTTAAAATGCTCCTTACAGAGTGATTGATGATGAAAATATTATGGTTAAGTTCAATATGCCTCATCCAAAGATCGGTTGTGTTTAAAGTTTAAATTTTACTATGAAAGAAACCTCCTTAAGACTACTGTAATAGCATTACAAATCTTCTAGATTCCTTCTGAGTCTGCTGCTGATAAATCAAACTTACCGACCATCATCCAGTTAGTTTTTTCAGAGCTAAGCTGTAACTGTTTCAGTTGATTGATATGGTCATACTTGGAAGATTTGGTATAAGCTGAAGAAGTTAAATCTTTGCAGAAGTTAAGGAGGAAAATACAAGGAGCCCCGAATATTATTATAAATATTGGGACATAAATAATAGGACAATAGGTAGAAAGCGCAACAATTCCAACATTGAAATTGATTTTTTTAAATTAATATTTTCATTTTTTACGTATTTATAAAAAAATCAGAAAAATGCCTCGAAGGTCTTAAATTTAAATAAATAAATAAAAGACTCATGGTGGTTTTGTCTATATATATATCAGCGCAATCAAACAATAAAAGCGTATTCAACCAAGGCTAATTACGACTCGAATGGCAAATAGTTTTATCAAAAAAATAATAGTCATTGAAATGAGGTGGCTTTTACTTGATGAAAATCCATTTATCAAAATAAATCAAAACTAAAAGTTCAGATTTTCACGAAATTATACATTTTTACATGACAATTGTTTCGACAACACCGTATGTCTTTATTAAAATACATACAGCCACAAAAGGTAGAAAATTAAATTTATTGGAAGCCATGGAGATTAGATTAACAAAATGAGACATTCAAATGTATTGCTTAACGATCAATTAGATTTAAATACCTGTCCTTTATTGATCTTAAATTCTCACACCATTAATTAAGGTTTTATGGTCATTCTTCGGTATATATAGTAGCAGGTAGTTTGTAAATATTACATTTGATAAAGACACGATGTTGTTCAAACAATTGTCATGTAAAAATATATAATTTCCTGAAAATCTGAACTTTTAGTTCTTATTTATTTTAATAATAGTCATATTTAACCGCTACATCCATAGTGGCAAAAGACACTGCATTGCATTTTGCATTTGCTCCAAATTACGCTGGAAAGTGACACAATTCTCTAAACGCTGTTTTTTTTAAACCAAATTTACGTGTTCAGCATATAACAGAAATCAAGGTCTTTACCAATTTCATAATGTGTCAATCATGACTGCAGTATTGAGTCTAGAGGAACGCCTGAGGAAGCAATTGTATTCATTGGAGGTGTGACCATCAGAAGTACTGACTATGAGTATGAAGCTTGTAGATTAGAATTTTGTAATCCAACCGATCAAACGCCTTTGAAACATTAAGATATATTACTTTTTAGTATATATCTTTTATAAATTTTTATTTTTTTTGACTCTTATCCTCTCAAATGTTTCTTTTTGATATAAAAAAAATCCTCACCAAAGATGAGCCGTGTAGCTCAACTCTAAGAGGTCGCTATTTTTATTTTATTTTATTTTTAATTAACATGGGAAAAATTCTTTTTTCACTAAAATTATATTTATATATAAAGTTTGCGATTTTTTACACAAAATTAATTTATTGATTGATTGATTTATTGATCCACGGACCGAAAAACATGTTGGAAAAACATTCCGGGATATCATCCGTTCGCTTGTTGAACTCCGATTGGAATCCTTCTTTAATGCTCGCGCTCTGAAAACACTTCGAACACTCGGATCATCGGATGATATCTTGAAATATGTATATATATATATATATATATATATATATATATATATATATATATATATATATATATATATATATATATATATATATATATATATATATATATATATATCAAAATCAAGACTTTTTTCTTGGGTATATATTATGGTCCGTTACGTAAAACAAAAGATTCCATGGATTTTATAGAAAAAATTGAAAACAAAATAATACCGGACGATCACGTTTTAATATCCCTAGATGTGGTGTCGCTGTATACAAATGTACCCTTTGACCTTGTCAAGGAAGTATTAACAAAAAAGTGGGACATTATAAGGTTCAACAAATAGAAGGCTGCGCAATGAGAATGGCAATCTCAAGTGTAGTTGCCCAATTAGTTATGGAATTTTTAGAAGAAACAGTTATCAAAAATCTAAATTTTAATTTACGCTTTTATTTTCGTTATGCCGATGACTGTATTACTGCGGTCCCAAAAAACAAAATCAAATCATTACAAGACTCCAATAAATTTAACCATAAATTACAATTTAAAGTCGAAATAGAAGAACAAAACAAAATACATTTCTTAGATTTAACCTTGCACCGCAGTAAAAATAGTATAAAAACGAGTTGGTATACTAAAGAAAGCAAATCTACTAGGTACCTACAGTTTGAATCGAACCACTAAATGGCCCAAAAAAAACCTGTTGTAATAGGTCTGGCAGATAGGGCAATTATGCTGTCCGATCCTGAATTTAGAAAAGGAGCGTACTTAAACAAAACTGTTACCCGCAAAATCTAATAGACAAAATTTTTAAAATAATAATTCATAAATTTTACAATGGTCTTCAACATAACCCCAAATTTCAAAACAATAAAACAAAATATATACCGTTACCATACATTGCAGGCCTATCCGAAACCATCCAAGGTATTCTAAATTCATTTTATTACAATTAAAGGAGAAAACTTTTATTGTTTTGACAGGGGTTAAAAACCTTTCAATAATTGATTTATTTATTGTTTTTGATGCACAAACTGTCCCCAGGAAAAAATCCATTAATTAAAACGGTTTCATACCATATGATGCGGAACTTATGGATTACAATGTAGATTCGCACTGCCAACTGCCTGCTAACGACTTTTTTTGCTCTAATGACAATTACATTAATAAAATCTTGTATTATTCGTTTCTTCAAAACTGAAAGCGTATGAAATTATAGACCTGTATATATATTAAGTGCTTTACCAAAATTGCTGCAAACTTAATAGAAATCAAAAACGGTTGTGCTGAGTAATATAAAGCCGCTTTGTTTTCAGTTTCCTTGAGGGAGTTTTCTTGTGAAACGGACGATGATTGCATTGCGCAAGGAGGCAATGCTAGAACGAAATGCAAATTTTACTGCGTGGCAAAAAAAGAAGGTATATATTTAAAATAGTTTTGAAATAGTAGAAAAAATTGAAATATTATCTATAATATACAAGTGCATTTATGTCAATATAGATTGCATACTCTTGGCTTGCAGGTCGGGAAAAAACTTTTTGAGAAAATCCAAAACACCCTAACTTAGATCGTCAGGGAAACAAATAAAACTAACCAAACTTACCGAAATGTTTTCAAATGGGAATGAGGCTCAAATTCAATTATCTCGTTATTTAATCTCCCCACTAGTAGCTAATTACATATACAGGTAATCATTTTGTTGAGTGATTGACAAGCACTTATTCGGAATTTTTCTAAATGTATTGTTATTGAGGATTATTGAGGAATTTTGGGAACACTGAAATTAATATACTTTATAAGATTACAATTTAATTTTTTAATCTTTACATTACAATATACAAACAGAATATCTATCTAGGATGTCTATCACGTCTATCGTTCACTTTAAATATTTTCAAACGCATTTTATGTGAGACTATAAAGGGATATATATTATTCAGGTACAGATATTTCGAAAGGACATCTAAATGAATCTAATAATGGTTTATACACTAAGCTTTTTTGAATTTCTTATTAAGAGGTCAAGAGTAAGCTTTGCTAGTGTTATTAATGAACTGGCTGTTGATTTTCATTTTCTTCATAAAATATACTCCGCAAGTTCCAAGTTGCTTCCTTAGGTATACGCCAGATTTGAAGAAAATATATCTAAAGCTTTCCTATTAGCCTTAGCCAATAGACCTATGCACACTCTGAGAAAAAGCAATATTTACTAAATTTTGTAAAAGAATTTCATGTTCAACCTGAGCAATAGTGAATTTAGTCGTTTACCTAAATCATAATTTTTGCATATACCTCCCTATATCTTTAGCAGTTAACAAAAACTTAACTACTCTCCATATTTTTTGTTCAAAACATTTCTCCAATTATTGCAGCCATATTTCAATTCGTAGGAAGCTGAAATTTTTCCTAAAAGGAGCGAATTCCTGTGAAGTAATTTATTTGAATAAAATGATGAGTTATAAAGTAAAATTAAATAGATTTTGGACTTTCTCGTCCAAAGTATTGTTATTATTTGCGGTCCACAATTTTCTAAAGCAGTTGATTGATTTTTAAAAACTAAGCAGCAGTACAAAAAATACAAAATTTTGGGGATGCCTCCTTCACCTCAAAAATTGTCCCATGGCCAACAAACTGGGCGTACTTTTGGATTTAGTCGAAAAGTTCTTTGGAAATTGATAATATCTCTATTTAATTACCAGTTGAACAAAACTTTGTTTCTACTTTCCTCGTATATAAAAGCTTTAACATAATTTCCTTTTTTTTTAATAATTAAATTTTTCTCCATTATTTCACTTTAGAAAATAAAAATGCTTGATTTTCGGTATTTCCAAATTCTTCTAATTTCTTGTTCCATATAAAAGGTAAATATGCCTGTACCATTGCGCCACCAAAGAATCTTATATTAATTTACTTACTTTTTCCTATTGTTTTTAGAATCTTGTATGGCTTATCATTGTAACACAGAAGATTACGTGGAAACTTTTTGGACAGCTCAAAAATTCAAACCGGTCTGTGATAATGACGGAAATTATCAAGCAAAACAGTGCAAAGGAGGTTTAAGCGGCAAGTAAGTTGGGAATATGTGCTAATAAAGTACAGGCCCATTATGTAACATTATCATGAATTTTACATTTTATAGTTAGTTACTGGAAAAACAAATTCAATTATTTGACGTAAAACAACCATTTTATGAGCAATTAGCAATTTGAATACACAAAAAGCAAAATAAAATTATATTCGGTAATAATAATAAATAATAAGACAGCGTAATCGTACAATGTTGTACAAAGAAAGATACAGGTTAGTGGATGACATTTTTTAAGGTACTCAGCTGAAATCGATATTTTTTGTTTATTTATTTATTTATTTAGATACATTATTCTACAGGATGAACCCAACTACTGAACAGGGACATCAGTGACAAATTAAAAAAAAAAGCAAAAAGACAGCAAAACAAAACAAATATAATTATATGCCATTCCTTAGAAATCATGTTTTAATGGCACCTACAGAAGAAGAAAATATATCAAGCTGGAAACTTGCCGAGTTGCACAGATCGCACATTCTGTGGAAAGAAGGAAATTTTAAAATATTCGTACGCGGCGTAGAAAGGCAAAAAGTTTGATCTACTCTTGAGGTAACCCTGGACACAGCGTATAATATAACCGTATTATAATTTAGATCTAACACATACATCGTACAGAGTCTTCAAAGTTTCTAAATCTGTTAAGTCTCGAGAGTTCCGTGCTATAAAAAAGAAAGTTTAGTGTCAAAAGTGGATGCTGATTTACGATGTTATTGATTTGGTTATCATATCTGATAGCATTATTTTTAAGTGAATACGTCATGACATTACATTTGACGGGATCTAACGACAAGTTATTAAGGACGCACCAGTTTTCAATACGCTCTACATTCATAGACAGGTTTTGGCAATCTTGAATACTATCAATTTTGCAGAACAACTTTAGATGGTCAGCGTATAACAAGCAATTAACATCAACACTTTCGACAATGTCATTAATAAAAATATTAAATAGAAGGGGAATAAATTGCTGCCTTGGGGAACACCGGCATATTCTACAGACTTAAGTCCATCAAATATAACCAACTAAGTATCCCATGATCAAGTTTGTCAAACGCCTTCGAAAAATCTGTATAGACAACATAAGTTTCAGATAGCAAGTCTAGACTTTCAGCTATAGCTTAGGAGATATTTGCCAGATTAGTGATGGTAGACCGCCCTTTCATTAAACCATATTGCTTTGATGTTATACTGTTTTTTAAATGATTGTATAATTTATTGCGCAGGAGTGTTTCAAAAACCTTAGAAAAGTCGCAAAGTAATGAAATGGAACGAAAATTACTGATATCCAAATGGTCACCTTTTTTGTAAATGGGTCTAACTCTGCATAACTTCCAGGTATCAGGCACAGTGCAAGATTTATGGCACGTATTCAGTAGAACTGTAAGTGGAAGAGCCAGGACACTCGCACAGTCCTTTAAAACAAAAGCCGCAATGCAATCAGCTCCCGACGTCATCTTATTATTTGTTTGCTTACGAGCCGCTAGCATTTCACATTCTTGAAAAGATGTAAAATGAAGAACTTGCATATTATCGCTATTACTAAATGTAAAATTTGAAGAGAGTAAGATTTAGCTAAAAAATCAGCATTAAAAATGTCATTAGGACTATCTAATAATTTATCATTGTAGAACATCTTGTCTGAAATGTTAGTGGAGTATTTTTTAAACGCTACTGCTATAACAATTTTGTGGCAATTTTGTATGGTATTTGGCTTAGAATAATATTGGGAAAAACTTTTTCAAATAACTTGTTTCGATATCCCTAACGCGAAGCAAAATATCGAACATTGACCCTGTTTGTGGATTCGCGTTACAAATAATTTCAGTTGAGTGGTACTAATGTGCAAAAATTCAAATCTATGTTTATTTAGTTAGCCTAAATTTTTATTTTATCACCTTAAATGCATGCACATGCACAATGTATAAGGGTTTAGGATACAAAGACAATCATCTGTCATAGAATGTTAAAGAAAAGCCGCCACTGAAGCAATTTAAAATCTCTTGTACACCTAGGGTTGAAATAAAATAGAACAGATTTGAAGAAAAGAAACTCTTCTTCTTCTTTCGGTGCCGTATCAGGCCCCCCTAACGTTGGCAATCACATTCGCGAGTTGATCGGCACTGCATATTCCGGTCCAATCTCGGATGTTCTTTAGCCATGACATTTGTTTCCTTCCAACACCTCTGCCACCTTCGATTTTGCGTTTCATCATGAGTTGAAGGATTTTGTAGCGGCCCCCTCTAAGAACATGCCCTAGGTACGATATTTTTCGTATTTTGATTGTGTTAAATAACTCATGGACGGCACTTGTTCTATTTAAAACTGCTTCGTTGGTTTCGAATGCTTCGAGGCGATTGATAGCATTGGCCTTGAGAGTCCAAGTCTCAGCACCGTATAACAACACAGACCATGTGATCATTCTTGGGCGCAATTTGAGGTTTAAGTTATCATCGCAGAAGAATGGTTTCATTTAAAAAAAGTTGGGCGAGCTGTTTCCATTCTGCATTTGATTTCTTTATTTGGATAAAGCATCCAAGATATCTGTAAAGGGTAACTCTATCAATGTTTTGCTGGTCTATATGTAGGGATGCATCGGCGTGTGGCTGTTGACTGAATACCAAACATTTTGTTTTAGCGACATTCATTTTTAGATCCATGTTCCGTCCTGTCGTGTTTACATAATCCAACAGTTCTTGAAGGCCTTGGATACTATCGCATAAGATGACCGTGTTGTCGAACATACCGAATAGTATATATCAGTTCGCCGTTGATCTTCACTCCATGGTCTTTATCTTGTAGAGACTCTTTGAAAATCACATCTGAGTAAAGGTTGAATAATAGCGGGGAGAGAATGCATCCCTGCGTGACACCTCATTGAATGCAACATTCGCGGGTTAACCTTCCATCGAATCGTACCACTGCTTTTTGGTTCCAATACAAGTTCTGTATGATACGTAGATATTTACCATCGATACCTGAGGTCCTTAATATAGTAAAAAGCTTATCGTGTTGAACCTATCAATTGCTTTTTCGTAGTCGATGAAAGCCACATAGATGTTGTTTTTTCGGAAGGGCTATACAAACAGACTTCAACCATTCCTCGGGTATTTTACCAGTATCATAAAAATTGTTGAAAAACTTAGTTAAGGCACTGATCTGATCTTCGTGGATCATCTGCAAGAGCTCTGTTGGAATGTTGTCTGGTCCCGTTGCCTTCTTGGGTTTGGCTGTTTTTATAGCATGTAGAACTTCCGATTTTAAGATTTCTGGTCCTTCAACTTGATTTACATTATCTTGTACATTTGGCTTGTCGTCTTCAAACATTTCGGCTACGTATTTACTCCATATTTCAAGAATTTCTTGTTTAACAATAATAGTTTTCCCTGTATTATCCACTATAGTATTAGCAGCCTTTTTGTTATATATGCCAGCAACTTCCCTAACTTCCTTGTACATGTTGAACATATCATGTTCTTTTTTTTAATTCTTCTATTTCAGAACCTCTATCCATCATCCACTTCTCCTTAGCCGCTCGTATTTTTTGTTTTATTTCCCTTTGTTTCCTTTTGTGTTCTACTGCTTTGTTATTGTATTGTCTTCTTTGTTCCATAAGGTCCAATATTTCTTCAGCCATCCATTTCTGTTTCTTGTGACTATTTGTTACTCTATGTGCTCCTAATATCTTGGTCATATGTTCACGGAATAATTCCCATGTAGCTCTAGATTGCTGCAATTATTTGAGTAATTTTGTATTTTTTTGTTGTTAGGTTTGTTACCACCCTTCAATTATTATGTTATCGTTCAATCCTACTTTTGGTAATTATTGTAAACTTCATTCTATGGAATACTTTTTGCTGTCGGTTAATAAACGAAATCCCACAGACATGGAAGTGGAAAATATTGTTCATTTTGTATATTAGCGAAGATTTGAATTTAACTTATTTATTTAGTTATTTCATTTAGTTATTTTGTTAACAAGCTTAATTCTTTCCCAAGGTGACCTTCACAATGAGTAACTTTATAGATATAGACTTTCTGCATTCTGAGTACAAATCTGGGAGCAAATGGAGACGTAAGGTTGGTTTTGAGACTATGTGAACTAGTTTAAGGTAGGCTAGGCCCAAATACTTTAGACTTTATAGTTTAAGTGTATTGTTCCACTTTTTTTCACAAAACGAGGTCTATTGTCTACTGTTTTATCAGTGACGACTGTTCGATCCCAATAAAAGAGAGCTGCGTCGTTTCCAAGGACATGACATGGTAAAAAATTGAAGTACATTTCTGGATGCTTCACTAGATTGTCTGGATGCTTTTTGCTACCTGGTTATGTTTGCCGAGGTATTCTGTCTCTGCAGTAGTCTCACATGCTCCGGTTGTCTTCGATCTTTGCAACTGAATAGTTTTATCTTCTATACTTACTTTTTACAAAACTTCTGGATTCCTAATGCGTCGGTTTTTGCTGAGTCGAAATTGCTGACGTTTCGCCAATCATCCTGTTGGCTTCTTCAAAGTTTGAATGAAACTGGCTCGTATTTTACTCTGTAACTGCTTATATATTAATTATAATTATTATAATTATTATTATCATATTATTATAATTTCAACTCAGCAAAAACCGACTCAGTAGGAATCCAGAGGTTTTTTAAAAAGTATTACAGTAGCCTGTGGAAGTTTCTTTGAAAAATTATCTTCTATACGTGTTTGTTATATTAAAATATTAGAATATTTCTTGTGTCATTTCGAGTGCAGTTTGGATAAAGCCCTAGGTTTCTGCCTGTAAGTATCCTTTAGGTTAGTTTAGTTCCTTGTCAACGTTATTATCGTCCCTCTCGGTTGATATTTCTGTCTGCGTTAACGACCTTTGCAATTCCTTAGTGTGAGTGTTATTCAAACTACTGCCTTATGTTCATTTTAGTATACCAAACGACTAAGGCAATATGGGTAGTAGCCATTAGTCACACTAATGAAGTTCTGTCCAT